GTATTAACAATAAATCGCTTACATAAACTGAGAAAAAAGAAAATCATAGAAATAAAGAGTAGTGGAAGAGAGCAAAGAAAAAAAAATAAAAAGAAAAGAAAAGAAACTGATACCTTTCGGACGCATGATTGGCGGGAACACTGGGTTGCCGGTGGAATCGGTCGGTAATATGAGTGTATTATGATCTAAGATGTCTGAAAGAAAACGTGAAAGGTGAAAAATCAGGACGAGACGCTGGTCGGCTAGTAGGGTGACTGGTCGTGCCGTAATAATGAGTGGCGGAGAGGAGGAAAGAGATCCTCGTGAATCCGATCCACCGGAATTCTCGTTAAGCTGGCTTTAATCGCGTTACTCGAGGCGGGCTAACGAGTTTCGAGACCGCTGATGCGTAGACAGCGACGGATAGGAGGGGTGGGGGAGACGGAAAAAGGCAGAAATTGAAGCGGGGGGGGGAAGAAAGTCCGCGGGATGGATGGATGGATGGATGGATGTATGTACGTACCTATCTAGATTCTCGTGACACGGGAGGAAATTCGTTGGACGAAACACCGGTTGTTCGCGACTTATTATTAACATCGGTCATTTCTGATCCCAACGCGACGGCGTTATTAATATGGAAATGGTGTAAAAAAAGCGTACGAACCCGAGTTTCACGCGGTGTTATCAACGCAAAATGTACACGATGAAACGAAAAATTCAGGACAGAGAGAGGGGGGCGGGGGGGAGGAGACGAAAAAAGAAGAAAGGGATTAAAGTTCTTCTCTTTTTAGAGAGATAGGATAAAAATCTGTACAAGTCTTGGAGCGGGAAAAATCAAGGCGCGCCGTGTGTACAAATGGAAACCAATGACCCGACAGATTCGAGAGAAGGAAATAAAAGCGGAAACAGAATGAACGGTTCGATAGGTTTTCCGATACGATAAGTCGCGACGGAAATCTTCTTTCCCTTCCTTCTTGCCTCTCCTCTCGACGCGGCCTCCCTTTGCCTTCCGTAACTTTTCCGCGAAATTCTCGCGCAGAATCGGTATTTTCCGACCGACGACCAACCAACCTCCGTAAAGATCGGTCGCCGAGAAGAGACGAGGGGCAAAGATAGTACCTTTGCGAAATCGTTCGACCGAGGATTCTTTGTTGTCGGCTCGCCCGTTTTCAGAGAGGGCGAGAGACAAAGAGAGAAAGAAAGAAGGGAGAGGAGTTGGAATCGGACGATTTTATGCTCGATCGCGTTCAAATACAACGCGAGCTTTCGTTCGAACGTTATATTAAATTAAATTATTATCGAATATACGCGTAGTCCACTACTGATTTGAAACGAGAGGGGTGTGATCTTACCGCTTTCATCCGTGGCTGCAACTTGGCCGGCGCTCGAGGATGGAGTCGCTGAATGCGTCAATGCCACGTCTTCGTGGGTGAAGCGATTGAAAAGAGAAGGAAACGTTTTGCACAGGATACGATTTGTTAGTCGGTTAACGGTCGGGTCGTTAGTCGCAACAACGATTGCAGCGAAACGGAGGATTCCGGAATGTAACTAACGAAATTGCAACGGCACGTTTTACGCGAAAGTTGAAAGGTCGTTTACCAAGGGTCCTGATGGTGATGAGTTTGCTCAACATTCCATCGCCCAGAGCGTTCTTCCCTATCACTTGGAACTCGTACAGCGTTCCTGGTGTCAGACTGTTGATCGTCACCGTTGTGCTTCCCGACGGAGTTACAGGAATCATCTTCCATTCCGACGTACCCGATTCTCTGTACCTGCGTAAAACGGAAATATACATATATATATATATTAGTCGGTTTAAAGGCTTTAAAGGATTTTTGATTAAGATTAGTTGCGCAACGTTTATTACGAGTTTTCTCCCAAATATCGTCGTTTACGTTACGCTCAAAGTTACAACGAAGAATACTTATTAGAAACATCGTTTCATACTTATCGTTTCACTGGTGGAAAGAAGTCTCGTGAAAGGAACACAGCGCCTGATTGGTTAATTTGGAAGGAAACGCCTATTTTCATACCTTATTTTTGTTTCTATCATAGTATTCGTCACATATACGACGATCTGTATCTAAAACCTCGATGCAATAGCGTAGGCTAATTATGATTTGTAACAATAATTTATAAATCTAATTTTGTGTTCGTATGTAGTTAATAATTGTACGCATACGAATAATAATAATAATAATAATATATACGAATAAGCTAAGCATATACTAGTCAGCTTCGAGTTATAGCTCTTCCACTATTATGTAGCAATGTCAACAAAGCGTCTAAAGTGGGCGGTCCTAGCGAAGAACCCCTCTTGCCTCTCCACCCATCTCACTTTTTTCCAACAGTGAACGGTAGAAACATGAAACTCGAAACGATATTTTTATCAACACATTCCACTCGACGAAACTGCGACCGAGAACAGGCTCACTCACCAGATGGTATAGTCTTGTTTGTAATCAGGCCCTCCCGAGTATCCCGGCAGCCAAGTCAACGTGACCGAGAATTCGGTCGCGGTACCGGTTACGTTGTACGGAGCGTGGGGTTGCGTGCCTTCGACGATCAATTGCGTGGAGGCCGATATGGTGGCAACCTCGTTCGACGCCACGCACTGGTAGAAGCCGAAATCCGAGCGGCGAAGGCTTTCGATCGTTAAATTCCCGCCGACGGTCTTGGCCCGATTTCGTTGGATGGACGCGCCATCCCTCTGCGCAATTAAATAACGCGATGCCAAGCGACTTAAACGACTGACGAGATGTCGAATTGAAAATTGTAAAAAAAAAAAAAAAAAAAAAAAATAACGGAATCGCGGAGTTTCTCGAGGGAGAGAAAGACGGAGGGGAAAAGATCGGCCTTTCGTCATACCCTGTGCCACTGTATCGTGGGTTTCTGCGTGCCCTCCGCTTCTTGAGCGTCGCAATGCATCTCCACCGTTTCGCCCACCTTTTTCTGATAGATCGGCTCCGGCTCGAGAGTGAACACAGGCGGATTTCGCACAAGCACCTCCATCGGCCCGGAACTTCCTTGCGTGCCATGGGCGTTATAAGGCGTGCAGGTATACCGGCCCTGATGATTCTCATTGACTCGTGTAAAAAGCAGGGAGCCATTGTTCATCACAACGATATCCTTTGTTTGATAAGGTTCGAGCAATCGTTTGTCCTTCGTCCACGTCACGTATTGAAGGGTGGGATTCGCCTTTATGTAACAATGAACCACACCAGCCAACCGAAACGGTAGATACTGCACCGTGGGAGTGAACGTCACTTTTGCCGGATCTGCAAATTCAACCGATTGTTATTATTATTATTATATTTTACTTTCTTTCTCGCGCGTCACACTTGCTACGTGTGTTATAACACAATTAATAACACAACTCACATTCCACGTTTAGGTAAGCGCTAGCGCTTTGCGGATCACCGATGCCGTTCGTCACTTCGCAAAGATATTGGCCAGAATCGTCAGCGCTCACGGGATTGATCACCAGGCTACCGTCCGATTTGATCGTTACTCTCGTATCCAGCTCGGAGAGTTCCGTAACCGGTGAACCCTCGCGGAACCAACGTACGGTCACGTTACCGGGAAGAGCTTTAGCCTCGCAGTTAAATTGCACCTTTTCCCCTTCCAATTTGGTTTGGTTCATCGGCGGCACGGTGATCACTGCTCCACCTGTAACCACGATACGAGGGATAATGGCCGATTTCTGCCATCTTGTCAACGTCACTCTTATTCGCTCTCTCACTTTCTCTCTTTCTCTCTCTCTCTCTCTCTCGTTTGGACGACGATACACGGAAATACGCCGGCCAACCAATATCCTGGCCGAAACGAGCAGGAGGCCAGAAGCTTTTAACTTGGCCAGACGCGGAAACGCGTCGCGAAACGAGATTTCATCGTTCGGTTGCTCTCGGCAGTCCGCGCGAGACCACGTCGATAAGTAAACAAATGGAAAGGGAGACAGATGTTCTCCATTTAGCAATCCCGATAAATGGAACGGCTCTATAATGGATCGAATTGTTACTTTAGAAACGTGTCGCCTAGCGAGAGAAAGAAGAGCCGCGACAGATCCACGTACGAAGTAAAAGCAATGCTCGTCCAATCGTAAGATTGACATCAAAAGGTGATTGTATATTTTTATATCTGTTTTTATATATCGCGATTGTATATTTTTATGTTACTCGATATATATTCTTGCGTGATGTATGAAAATATAAACGGATATGTTTTTTCTACATTGCGCGTATATATCTCAAATACATTTTTGTATTTTCAGCTAGTATATATTTATACCGTGTGTGTCGCACAACACGTGACAGCGTGAAACGATAAATACGTAAAAAGTAAATACAAATGAAATAAATATAACTCTAAGTTAAAATTGAAATGATTGAAAAATGTTATTATTAAGGTAAAAAATTTTATGTAACATTTTAACCTTCTCTCGGATTTTGTATTCTGCAAAATCGCAAGATTTACATTTTCCCGTTACAAAATCGTAAATTGCAAACCTGCTATATAAACTTGTTATCAAAAGAATGACGAGAACAAGAGATGAAATTTTGGATAAAAATTTCGAATAAAATTAAAAGAAGAGATGGCACGAGGATGACGTACTTGTATTTATAATTCTATGGTGTCCTTTAATTTCCGAATTGCACGTTCAAAAGCATGATCCGAGGCTGAAGGATTGTGATCCATCGACGGGAATTTATTCGGCAACGCAGTCCTTCTTTTCGATTCTTCGTTTCCGCACGGTTCACATCGCAAAGTTTGCACGACGAAAATCAACGGTTGTTCGATTGAATCTCGATGGTGGCGCCGCTCACGGGCATTCGTCGAGCTTCGATGCTTCGAAACAATGAAACGTGGGTACGGTCGAATCGACCTCGCTTGAAACCGCAACCCACGGACGTGAAAAGACGGATAGCTCGTGCTACGTAGGATTTCGTGCCACGTTGAGAACGCGGCAAGTTAAGTTCTTTGGGACAAAGAACGAAGAGTCCATTGACGAACGACGACGATGAAATTTAACGAAATCCGGGAACGCGATGAATTTAGAAGCGGACGCTCGATAAATATTCACAAGCCAGATTTCAAACTTTCCACCCGCGAGAGTAATGAATCCGAGAAAGGTGTAAAGTCGAAACCACGATCGATGGTGGCAGCACCACCACCATAGATATATTATATAGGTTTAAGACGGGAACAAAAGCCGGGAAACTGTTTTGTTTTATTAAGATGCAAAATCGTGGATGTTGCGTCGGTGCTTTCCTTGATGCGAGAAGGAAGATAGAGATAGAGATAGAGAGAGAAAGAGAAAGAGAACGTCGCGGCGGATGAATTTGGGAGTAGGAAGGTCGGTAAATATTCAAAGCTCGGATTCAAAAGTTTGACGGGAACGGGCGGAGCAAAGTTCGGTCGGGCTCGAGGATCCTCCGCATTAATGGCACAGTCTGTCAACGGTGTTTTATACGAGAGCCTATGTCTACTTTGCATACACGATTCGGACGTTCGTTCGTTCGTGACTGCACGCCACGACTCGACGATTTATTAGTCCACAAACTTTCCACGGAACTTTCCTCCTCCTCCTTCCTGTCTACGAATATTTTTTTTTTTCTTTCTCGCGGATTTTTTCGGGCGCTCGTGTCGGATCGAAGACACGATCTTTGGATCTCGATTACGGAGGATGAAGAAAGATGATTCGGGGCGAAGATGACGAAGACGAATGAATTGCCGCGGCCCCGTAACGAGGCGTAGAAATCTGCGATACCGGTGGCGGAAGGAAGAGGATGGGAGACAAATCGCTTTTTAACTCGACGATCCGCCGCGAACAACATCCTAATTGGTTTCAACGTTCAGCACGCAAATCCCTAACGCAAATTTCATCGTCGAAAATCGAGAGGGAAAGACGAAGACGGAACGAATTTTTTTTTCTTCCAACGAGAGAATAGGAGGATTATTCCTTCGAGATAATAAGATTGAAATTCGTGAAAAAAAAAAAAAAAGAAAAACTGTCGAACGAGAATTCGGGGTAAAAACAAGACGGTACCCACCCGGTTTCCGATTTGGATCGATGGACGAGGTTTCGATCACCGGCGAATCGGTCGAACAAAAACCGAGCTGGTTGCATCGAGGTATTTTCCAGCGACGAGGTTATCGGAATTTCATTATCGGAGCTGGAACGATTACCAACGCCTACCAACGAAAATACTCCGATAACTTCTAATAACAAGCCGCTTCGATAATTGTCCTACCGATCCTACACCGGCCTATATTAATTATCGGCACGTGGAAAATTCCATTCTCCAACCTACTCCCTCCACACACGCGCGCAAAGAGGAATAATATTATAAAGTCAGTACGCGAAAAGAAAAAAAGAAGGAAAAGGGAAGTTTGGAGAAATCGCGTTTAAATACTCACCAGCGATTATAACGCGGGCCGTGTGACTGATTTGACCCTCTCCGTTTCGCGCGATGCACGTGTAATCCCCGATGTCCTCGCTCTTGATGGTCGAGATCCTGAGCTCGGTGCCGTCGTTGAATATTCCTATGGTTGACGAGGGCTCGACCGGATTCGCGTCCTTGTACCAAAGGATCTCGGGCGTCGGCGTGCCCTCCGCCTGGCAGTTCAATATTATCGCGTCCCCCACGTTCACGTAGATCATCTCCTCCGGCGTGATGCTAAATTTTGGCGGCGCTACGAAAACCAACCAATCGTTTTTATCCTCCCTCGACACTCTTGGAACTGGAAGCAGATCGCGAGCGAAAAAAAGTGGAACGTGATTTCTCCGTGCGCGGGAATCGGCCAGAATTGCGATTCGCTCTTCGAGTCGATCGTCGAGTCGAAAGATGGAAACGCGATTGCTTCTCTCCAACGGTTTTAACGGTGTACAGAAGTGTGTTTGAAACGCGCCTCCTTCGAAAGAAAGAAAGAAAGAGAGCAGCCAAGCGGATATGCATTCCTGTCGTTGTTTCTTCGATCGAATCGACAATCGGAAAGATACATCGAAAGGGAGTTTCGAGGAGGAAAAAACGAAGAAGGAAGGAAGGAAGGAAGGAAGGAAGGGTTTAGGAGAAAGAGAAACGATTTCAAAAGTACAAAGAGCGTTTTTGGTCGAGTGGTTCTTCTTCTTCTTCTTCTTCTTCTTCTCTGTTTGACGCCGTTGGCAAATCCTTAGTCGTCGTGGCAATCGGTCCGTCGCCGTCATCCTCCTCGTACGATGACGTGGTCGAGTGTAGCCGTGGGCTCCGTGTACACGGCACGGAGAAAAACAAGGGAGGAAACGTCGTAAGAGACGCGAGGAGGAGGAAAAGAGAGAGAGAATACACCGTTTCCTAAACGCATCTCTTCCCCGCGGCCATCTCCTCTTCGCCGCCGTTTACGGCCAAAGAAAACGAGCCGCTAAGTTTTCCTTTCTACCATTCCTCTCTTCCTCCGTTCCCCCCTCCCCCTTTGGTTCAATGACCCCTGCCGCGAGTATAAAACTTTATCCTTTCGAAACCAAAGAATCGAATCGAATCTCCTCCTCCTTCCCGTCTTCCTCCCCTGTTATGACCCACGCTTATCCGACCTCTCTCTCTCTCTCTCTCTCTCTTCCTCCTAGTTTTCATTCGCGAGAGAGGAGAGTCGGTGGATGGAATTCGAAGGTAGGAAAAGGGGATGGCCAATCACGGTACTCGTCGCGCTCGTAAAATCTTCTTAACCGCGAGATGTTAACCCTTTCGCTACTACGACTATAGAGTATATACCCTTTTATCGTTCGATTTGGAAACGAACAAGTTGACGCTTATCGAGGAAACGTTAGTAATCATTCGCGAACTTATTATTGCTCCTTTCCTGTTTTTATAAATGCTAGCACGCCTCTGCGAGCAAAGAGCGACGTTTGTCCCGGAGGGAGACTTGCTTTGAGAATTTAGTCGACCCTTGTAATCGTATCGTGTTATTATATTCTGTTATTTGATTCCAAAGTGTAATGAGTGTGTTTTTGCAAGTTATTATAAACAAACTACGGGCGACTATACCTCGCTCTGCGCAAGATGCCGCCAATCGAATGCGACACGAGTTGACGATATGACGATTATTTGCGTATCTTTCTCTGGAAATATATCGATATTTTTTTTATTTTTTACCATCAATTTCTTTTCAATTTAGTGCTCGGTTAGCGGCCGTAGCAAAAGGAGAGTTAAGGAGAGTCTTCGTTTTCTTTCAACGAACACCGTCGAGGTCGCAGCGAGGCCGACCGATCTTTCTCGATCTTTCACCGATCCTGCACATTTTTCGATTCGCAGCGAGAGGGTTAAGGAATCTTGCTTTCAACGAGGCTCGGCTCGACTTTCGACGGGACGATCGGTCGCCAACCGAAGGAAAAGCGGGCAGCTTTTTCGATCGATTCCTCCCCTCCCTGCTTGGAAGAGGAAAGAGGTACTCACCGTGGACGTCGAGGTGGAACCAGGTACCGTTCTTGTTGGGCGACCTGTTGAGGAAGACCACCTTGCACTCGTACCATCCCTGGTCGCTCTCCCGGATGTCGGTCAGGTTGAGGCTCGCCCCGCCGTACGGTGAATTCGGGCTCACCCTCGAGACTCGACCCTCGTAACCTTCGCCGCTGTGGGTCGGATACGAGTCGTACCATATGTATATCGGTATCTCCTGCCCCTTGCACCAACACAAACACGCAACATAAACGAGGGATCGTCGTGGAAGAAGAAGAAAAGAGAAAACGCGCTGGTACGCGCTGGTGCGAGATTCAGGAGAGGGGGGGGGGAGAGAATAATCGATGAGGCGAAGAAGATGAATCGATCGACGAAGGGAAAAAAAGAAGAAGGAAGGGGGGGGAGGGGTTGAAAGGGAAGGGGGGATTCAGCTCGCACCAGCTGCTGCCGAATTAATGAAAATGAGAACGAATGAGAACGAAAGGATGCAGAGCGTGTGCGAAGAGCGTACGAAACGAAACGGATCGTCGATTCGAACGATTCGTTCGACGCGGCGATTCTCGTTTCCCATGCAACTCTCTACCTTACTGGCGAGGAATCGGTACGAGGATGGCGCGCACGATGAAAGAAATATACACGAAGAAAAGGCAAAGAGCGTGCGCGTGGAAAAGAAAAGAGAGAAAGCGGTGCTGCCACGAAAACTTTTACCCAACCACTACGTCACGTGCAAAGAAAAATGGGGGGGAGGGAGGAGGAGGAGGGGGGGAGGAGGGAGGGAATACCTATCTGGATCGTCGTCCCTTCTCGATCGAGGATCGACGGAGGGGCTGTTGGTAAGAAATATAATATAAGCGACGATGCGACGTCGTTGTTCTTTCCTTTTTTTTCACGTCCGGTTCCTTCTCCGAAAGAAAGGAAGAAAATCGCGAGTGAAAATTGCCGATCCTCCAAACTCGGAGAAAGTAAAAAAAAAAAAAAAAAAAAAAAAATTGGTTAAAAATTTCGAACAAACTTGCTTTCGAATGCTCGAATTAATCGAATATTCGCGATTATTCAGGTAACTTTATTCAGGTTTTTTTTGGATCGATTCAATAAATCGTCGCTGCGCGCAACGAGGGAAACACGCGCCGTTTCGTCCGTCATCGACGAATGCTCGACGACTTCTCCCTCCCTCTGTCGTCCATCGACTCGAGCCTCGTCGATACTTGCTTATCGAGCTCGAAGGAGGAAAGCGGTCGAGAGGCGCGAAAAATCGGTCGCTGAAACGGCGCGGTGCCTCTCTTGCGGGAATTGAGCTGTTCTATTGGCGCGCGGAAAAGAAGCGAGGAGAGGGAGGGGGAGAAGGACGAGACTAAGGCTAAGACTAAGAAGAAGAAGAAGAAGAAAAAGAAGGAGCGAGAAAAAAAAACGTGGGGCGACGATCGTACGTTGTTGGCCATTGACTGCCCCAGTTGATGCTTTCTATTTCGAGCTGGCCTACTTGCGTCGCAGTCATCGTGCTTGCAAACCACGCTGATTTCAATATTATTCTCCCTCGAGCCACGGAAAGAGAGAGGGAGAGCTCGTTCGATATTGCGATTTCGTTGTCGCGCTCCACCGCTTCATACAGCTCCGAAACAACGAGCGAACGAAAAAAAAAAAAAAATAACAATTCCTAAAAATACCTTATCAAATTTATTTATTCATTTATTCTCATCCCCCCGTTTTTCAAAAAGAAAGGAGTATATCGCGACGTGGGGGGAAAAAATAGCTTTATTCGAGTCGGAGCGGGACGGTTTCGCACGAGCGGTCGCGACGCGTATCTGGGTCAGGTGTGTTTGCCTTATTTTACCCTGTTCCGTCGACTGGCTACCTTCTGAAACCCGGACGCGATATGATAATCTCGACGAAATTCTTCGCCAAGTGGCAACGATTTCGCGTTTCTTATGGAATAACAATCTTCCAGTCCGTTCCGTAATTATTAGAATCTTGCGAGCCATCCCCGTCATTTCTATCTGTATCGTTGAATACAATCTCGATCGAATTCATCTTCGCTAATTTTATTTCTATTATTTTTATTTTCTTTCTAAAATTTACCGTAATATTATGATACTTTTTGCCACGAACGTCGTATCCGAGGCAACATTCTCAATTACTATATAAATTTACGACATTGATGGGCATAAATGAAGAGCCCTTTCTCGTATCACTTGGCTCGACGAAATCCAAACGGTAGAGCATAGGTCATAAGAATCAATGGCAATTTTTACTGGTAAAAATTAAACCTCGATTGAAAAAAATTCACTCCACTCGTGACGTTTAGGTTCGACCGATCTTCGTTTCACACGTTTCGGCCGAAATCTTTATCGACAGACTCGGTGACAATACTTGGGAAGGGGTTAATAAAATCCTGGAAAAACGTCGAGTGATCCTCTCCTCCTTTCTCGTTTCGGAGGAGAATTCTCCGGAGATGGAGCCAAAACTCGTGGCTAACCATCGAACCGGCGGAACGTCAACGAAGCGTGGGAGAGAGTTTCCGGAAATCGGCATCCTCTTCCAACGTTTATTCCTGTCCGGCTTGTTCCACGCCGAATTTAAACGCGAATCGTTCACGGGACGACGAGCCGGCCAATTTACAGCGGCCGAGACGAAGAATACTTTTATCTAATCTCGATCTCGTTAGGTTAGACTCGAATCGAGAGTTAATTTCGTTATTCTTGATAAAATTTTATCGAACAGGAGGAGAATTGAGTCGAGTGGACTTTTCGTTTCCTTTTTTTTCTTTTGAGGGGGCAATCGGTGGAACAGTAATCCAAAGAGACGCTTTCTTTTTTCGATTCCCGTTTTCGCTTCGAAAAGTTTCGTTCGAAGAACGATTTTCCCTTATCTTTGTGAATCTTTGTGCCTCGAAAACTTGACGATTCCGCTCTCCTAGATAGTCGCAATCGATTTTCCACCCGTGTTTTTACCGTTTATGGAATCTCCGGTATATTCGGTTGAGATAACGCGTTCCCAACTACGCGTTATCCAACCGCGGTTAGGAAAACTTATCGCTGTTCTCGGAGGACAATTAACTCCAACACCCCCTCGAGAAGTATCTTCGAATGCGCGTTGAGTGGAGAATACAGGAGAAATCGATGTAACGAAACGACAACGGCCGAGAGAACCCGACCTTTCCCCTTCCATTCCATTCGCTTTACGCTTAATCGCCTTAATTTTCCAACGTTCTTCGTTTCGGATAATCGACACCGCGAATATTCGAACGCTCTTTTTACTTTAGCCTCGCGAAGAAAGGACAAATTTTGGGAAGAATTTGGAAAGAAAGTTGTCCCGACCGACGTTTCAATTAATCCTTTCGCCGCTATAATAGTTTTCAACGAGATGCCGCGTATCGTACGATTCTTCGATAATAAAAATCACGAAAAAAAAAAAAAAAAAAACGCCAAATCATTTCAGAGATCATTTAGAAAATTACCAAAATAATAATGATTTACTTCTTTCCCCAACGACAAGTATACTCGGTTTATTTTTCAAATTATTACTTACCTTTATTCGAATCGATTATTTTCGAACAGATCTTACCCCTTAAAATGATTATTATTATTATTATCGTCACGATTATATTCTGTTTATTCCGATTCCAAAGGGGAAGTTTGTTTTTCGATAAACACGTTGGTCGAGTCGCATTTTTGCCTTCGAAGAAATCGTCGAAAGTGGTCGAAGAACCGGTAATTGATTCTTTTATTTGTCAATTATTTGTCCTTAGTAGAAGGGAGGGGGGAAGGGGGGGGGAGGAGATGCTCGAATTTCGATTCGAAACGGGAGGGGGAGGTCGAACAAGGTTTCGCTAATTATCTCGTTAGGGGTGGCTCGTCTCGAGGGTGGCATTAATAACGGAAGAATGGGAGAAAAGGGAAGAAGGCGAAGCCGCCAATTAGCGGGTATAACGAGGCACCCGAAACGCAGAATACGAATAACAGGTACGATGGCGCAGCCGAGAAATCCGCACACGTGGAATCAAGCGTGGAGGGGTTAACCCTGACACGGTTGAGCGCCTTGCTTCGGCTTCGCCTCCTCCTCTGCATTATGCATGCAGACCTCGTAACCTCGTACTCCCGCGATACCCCGCCCAATCCACCATTCTTCCTTTCCTCCCCCCTTTCTCGTTCTCGCGAAGAAAGAATCGCGATAATCGCGGCCAGAAAGGGAGCAAGACCTCCGCGGGGGTTGGTTCACGTTATATAAAGTTACATAAAGCTACGCGGGGGGTACGCTGTCCTATTTTTAAACCTAACATCACGGGGGTTAACCGTAGGCTAACGTTCGATCGATAACGCGGCGAGCGTTTCTCAAATCCGTCTTGTCCTCCCAATTTTTTCGAAAGATCGAAAAAGTATTTCCCGAGAAAAAAAAAGATACATCTATCCTCTTACTTAATCCGAAGCCATGAGATTTTCTCCGCGGAATTTATACGAATTTGTGCGCGCAGCACTGCGGTACATTCGAAGCGTAAAATTGGTTGTTTCGAATTCGCCAAGTCGATTCGGCTAGCAATAGATTCCCTCTCTTTTTTTCTCGTTCCGCTGGGAAAAAAGGGAGAAAGGAAGGAAGAAAAACACGCGATTTTCAAACGCAACGACAAAAGCAAGATGAAATTGGCGTTTTCGAGCGCCCATCTAATTAATAATCTCGTTCGAAACAACGTGCTCGCCGGTTGAACGACAAAAAGGAATAATAGCCGTGGATTTTACGCCATCTCTTGTTTACGCGATCGGCGAAATAATTAGTGTTCTTTTTTTTCTTTTTTTTTAATTCCAACAGGAACGTGGCGATGGCGGTGGAGAAAAATATTCGAGTCGAGGACGGGAAAGCTGCCAGGTTGGGGCCAACTTTCGGGGAGGAGGGATCAGGTTTCCCGAATGTCTTCCCGAGTGGAAACGCGGAGAAATTGAATTGCAACGAGAGAGAGAGAGAGAGAGGAGGGAGGGAGTGTATTTCAGCCTTTTCTCGAGACGCGTGTCCGCCCAGTTTCGTTGCTCCTCCGTCGGATCCTCACGTCGCTTTTTTCCCGCCACACGCTGCTGCTCCTCCTCTCCACCTCGTCGCCTTCTCTCGACCCCTTTCGGGAGAGAAGAGCGCCGCCAAGAAAAAACTCGCCTCGTTACCCTCGCTCCGCTGCACCCATCCCTCCGGCATCGCGTTTATTTATTTATTTATTTATTTTTTTTTCTTTTCTTCCACCGCGAGCCAAAAACTTCCCTTTTCGAGAAGACGTGCACGACATTCTCTTCTTTCAACTTCTTCCCCGTTCCTTCTTCGAGCAACGTTCGCACAGTTCGGCGAGTATTTTAAAAATGGATTCGTCGTTGAAAGATTTCGAGAGGGAGCAATTCGTTCGCTCGCTTTCCAGACGAGAAGGATTTGTGGATGATATTCGCTCGAGTGGATGAAAAGATTAATTTTCGAATGTGTAAAAAATACGATGTATGTAACAACTGTGCGCGTTATAGTTTTAAATTCTCTTATTAAACGTTTACGGATTAAACGAAACGGGCAGAGAATCGATAACCGATCGATCACGGTTCCATAAGTTGAGAAATATTTCGTAGATTCGTCAAGAAGTATTTAAATTTCAAATCATTTATTTTTATTCCTTATTTCGACACGTTTGAGCGATCGACGCCTTCTTTTTTTCAGTTTCATCGTTATTTCGTTGAATTATCACCGTTCAAGCCCGTGTCTATCGGGCAATTTATAGAATCGTCGATTTATACATCAGTCTCTTTAGAATACCGTTTCCAATTCATCCAATTTTTCTCATAATCGCACATGTTTCGCGCGATTAAACCTTCGAATCGCAAACAACTATTTTGCGTATCTCTTTACACACTGATGATTCTTACATTTCCTTTCCTCTCTCTCTCTCTCTCTCTCCCTCTCTGTTCCAGACTCGAGGAGGCGGGAAAAAGGGAAGAGAAATTCGTGGAGAGAAACGGTCCACTCGACGCGTGCACGCAACGCAGCCTACCCCAATGCCTTTTATCCAGCCAGCCAGGAGAGAGAATCGGCAAAGGGCGAATAGAAGGCTCGTCGCATCGGAGGCACACGCGAGGAATAATCCACGATGACGAAACGAAACCATCTCGAAACGCGTGCGTTCTTTGACGAGTAAACGCACCCCCTTTGTTTCGAAACAAGCGCGCTCCAACTTTTGCACAGGGATTCGCGCACGCATCGAAAGGCATCGAGCGAGCGAGAGAGAGAGAGAGAGAGACGCGGAAGAGAAATTAGTTGTCAGCCGCAGTGGCACGCCGGGGCGAGATTATATCCGTAAAAAAAAAAAAAAGAAAAGCAAGGCTGCTCCATTTCGAATTTCCAATTCGTTCCGCCATCTTCCAATACTTTTCGCCCCTTCCTTCGCTCCTTAATTTTAACACGTTAACCCTTTCGCTACTACGAACGCTCTGCACAACATTTATTTTTTCAATAAACACCGATTTTGAAACAACGATTTTTCTCCAGCACCGTGCACTACAATCGGTCTGCTCAAAGTGCTACGTATCGTATGATATGACGATTGGAGTTTTTTTTTTGTTTTCAATAAACAAACACCGTTAAAACAACGATTTCTCCCGTGCATATTTTCGACGCGGCGGAAAAATAGCGAACCGGTTGAACGGCCAAGTCTGTTTTACTTGGTTGCTTCGTCGAGCCGTTCGTTGCCGATAAGCGAGCCAGAGTATAAACAGAGAGGGCGCGCAGTTAAAGAGAGGGCGAATATGAATTGTAATATTTTGTTCATCTTATTTTAACTCCTTCTTGTACCGTTTAACACGACGAAATCCGGCCACTTTGGATCGTAAGAATCGCGGTGTATTTGAAAAAATTCATTCTGCGAGTCCCACTCGCGTGATAATACAATAGGGAAGGGGTTAAATATTTGTTCATATCGATCATCTTGTTTTTCAAATTCATTACAACACTATAAATTTATGTTTTTAATAAATCATTATCGTATCCTCGTTGAAACCAAATGCAAAACCCTGTATGAACGAACATCGGGTGGGGCAAATTGGCCGAAATGAACTCTCCTCCAGCTCGGATTTATTCGAAATAAGCGGCGCGATCGTGTTGTCGAGTCGAGTCGATCGATCCCGTTAATTAATTACACGGCGGATGGACACGCAGGTTTGCCCGGTCAATATTGAATCGACGGTTAATGCGTTTCTCTCTATAAACAGCCCTCCTCCTCCTCCTCCTCCGTGATCGTGCCAGCCCCCGGGCTTAATAATAATCCTCGCCCGATCCGAAGAACAAAAACATCGTGTCTTCCTGCTGACACGATGTTTCTTCCTCACGGAAGTGCATGCAACGTGCGCAACAACAACCTGCCTCGCCACCCCAACCGACGATGCATCCTTCTCTTTTTTTTTTTTAAGGATCCACGCGTCCTGCGGCGCGTTAGCTCGCATGCATCGCGCGCGAGCCTCGGCCCTCCTCCTCCTCCTCCTCGAGGGGGAGCCGACCGGGCCCGCTCTCATGCAAAAGCACCAGATGTTAGAGAGACAGAGACGTGAACTTTTCCATTTCCCCGCCTTCGAGAGGGGGAATCGCATCGCCTCCCCTCCCCTTCCTCATTCTTCGGCCACCTCGATCGACTCTGGTCGATCGAGTAGATCGATGAGAGGAGGGATGCGGTGAGAGACTTTCGCAAGAGATTGACGCAGAGGAGAGGAAAGAAAGAAGGGAGGGAGGGAGGGAAGGAAGGTCGAAACGGTGCAACGAACGGTGTGTTTCCGCGATAAAAGACGAGGGGGTGGAAGGAAAAGAATGGTTGGTTGGTGCGGCGTGGCGCGTTTCGAATTTAACAAAATTGATGGTTGATTTTCGATACTAATATAAAGAAAAAAGAAAACGACAAAAAATAGTCATTGGGTTCGTTGAATCGAAATTTCAACCAATCCCTTTAAAAAAAAAAAGGGATACTTTTTCACTCCATGCGCCTCGACGCACCAACGTCGCGATTTGTATCACGGATGATTCGTAGGATCGTGGAAAGTGCGAATAATGAGAGAGAGAGAGAGAGAGACGATATATATAGTGTATACAGTGGGATATCATAGGTGGTGGTCGCTGGCTGAGAGAACGGATGTGGTCGAATGACTTTTTAAAGTTGTTGTTAAATTAATTGTTGTCGTTGTAGTAGTAGTAGTAGTAGTAGTTGTTGTCGTCGTCGAATTCGACGTTGTAGAAAACGTTCTCTGCCCTCTCCAGTCCGGATCAGATACACATAATAATAATAATAATAATAATAATAATAACAACAACATAGTATATCGAGTGAAGAAAAGAAAAATACGTAATCGAATGTAATACAAACGTACAAAAAAAAAAAAGAGGAGAAACGATCGTATATAATCGAAAACCACTACTTTGAGCGGGTATCCCGATCCGGATTGTGTGGAACGAAAGGCGCGTCCCGTTCGCCCTCGTGATCCCATCCAAAACGAGAGAATGCCGCAACGCGAGCGAAAACGAAAGAAAAAAAAAAAAAAAGAAACAAACGTAAGCGAATAAACAATATATATATATATATATTTATAGACAATTCAAAATAATCATCGACAATCACTGCGATATGCTGCAAGATACGTAATGTGTGCTCACGGGGCCCCACTTCCAGTCGCCGTTTCTTCTATCACCGCGCTCCACGCGACGAAGCGGCGACAAAACCGCTCCTCCTCTCGCGATCCTCCTCCACTTGCTTGTGCTCGCGGACGAGGAGAGAGAAAGTTTCTCGACGAAAAAGAGGCGACGAGGATGACGATGATGGTGGTGGCGGCGGAGGAAGCGCGACAAAAGGAGCGTGGAAAATTCGAGAATCGAAGAGAGAAAGAGAGAGAAAGAGAGAGACGAATTGGATGGCGCGGGGAGTGTCGGTGGCGAGCGTCGAGTGGGGCCCACGTATTTAACTCACGGATATAGAGAGCAGAGGGTATCGTCCGATATCGTACCGCATCTCCTACCTTCTTCTCCCATTGGAGAACGTAGGGCACTGGGTGCTCACCGGGGAACTCTACGTGACAGTTGAAGACAACGCTCTCCCCAAGGATCGCCGTAATGTGCACCGCGTCCTGGTTGCACAGACCTGAAACACACCCATCTTTTATTTATCTCGGTTCGGCCAACAAACCGAGTTCACTCCTCCACTTTTTCGACACGCGCATTTTCGAGGAGAGACGAGGATAGGATGAGGAGAAGCCGAAGGAGAGCAGCGCCCGAATTTCTCGAAAAGCGAGAAATCCGTTCGAGACGATGGATTCGCGCATCCATCTTCCCTCTTTGGCGCGTTTTACTTCGTTTTACTACGTCGGAGGACACGCGATAGGACGGGCGTAAACGAGACACGTTGCCACTTTTGCCCCTCTCCATCTCGAAATTTTCAGTTACCGGCGAACCGTGAAACGAGAGGAGGAGTATCCATCGAGCCGTTCGATCGTGCAAGCCAACGCGTATCGCGAGTTAATCGCGCGACGTCGTCGTCGTCGTCGTCGTCGGTTGGGATGACGCGGAAGAAGCAATTAACCAGGGGTTAACGAGCATTCTCCCGCCCGGACTAACTTTCGCTTCGAGTATATATATAGATTTTAATTATTTAGCGTAATTGGACGGTGTTCTCGGTTAAGCGGGGTGTGTATATCGGGCAAGTGGGTGAACGGCCTCAGCCGTTTGACCCAGCAGCGTGGGGGTTTATCGGGCAGCGAAATTGTCGAGCGGAGCGAGAGAGAGGGAAGGAGGGAGGGAGGGAGGCGGCACGAAACCGCGGCCCAACTTTTTTCTTTTTTTTTCTTTTTTTTTTTTCCAACCAGGCTGCTGGATCGATCGCGCGCTCGTCTTTCGTTGGAACGAGCTTTAGGCTTTACAACGTACCCTCGAAGAAGAGGAGGAGGAGGAGGAGGAGGAGAAGGAAGGGACACGAGTTTCATCGCTCGCCATCTGGGGAAAGCGCGATGCCTCGAAGCAACGCGTAATTTACAGCGACCATATGCCGTGCCTCCCCCAGAATCCCGGCAATCTCCGCAAGGAATTTAATCGCCATCGAGACGCGCCACCCCCTTTCCTTCTCCTCCCTTCAGAGGTCCCCACGTTTTTTTCCAAATTTTTCTCTCGTATCTTTCGATTCGATAATAAATAAACCACCGGTGAAGAAGGAATTAAAGTGTACAAAGGCGGGAAATCAATTCGGGGAATAAATGAATTGGTCAACGTTGCGTCAACGCTCGTCTTTGTCGAAATTTTATTTCCCGTTCAATTTCACCTTACGATCAGGGGAGAACGCTGTTTCCATCTATTCTCCGAGACGATCGACTTTTAATCGCAGATTCGTAACGTTACGCGCGTCATTAGCAGGACGTGCTCGAGTTTTCTTCGAGGACGAGAGACAATTTTAATCAAATTGTTTTCGCCGACGAAACTAACGAGCGGGTGATGACGTTTCGAATTGAAAAAATCGAAAAAAAGAGGGGGGGAACATCTCAATGGAACGAGCTCGAAATACATCTGCTTCCACTTGCTCGTGTCTTATCGACCGATTATCAATTCTCGTTCCATTCTCGTGATCAGAAGAAGAAGAAGAAGAAGGAGGAGGAGGAAAGATTGCCATTCGTTGAAAAAAATAGGGAGAAGAAGAGAGGAAGGAAGGAAGGAAGGAATCGGTTGGATTGAGAAACACGTACCTGGCGTAACGAAAAGCACGATACCGAGGAGGAGGGTCCTCGTCGCAACGTCCGCGATCCACCGCAAATCGCCGCGACACCATCGAAGCCGATGCCTCTTCCCGCCGCTCCTTCCTCCTTCTTCCTTCTCCCCGTCGTCCGTGCCGACGATCCCGCGCGCGATTACGCCGCCGTTCCACCACCTCCTCCACCCTCCTCTCGCTCCGCAGTCCTCCTTCCTCCTCCCGTCCTGTCGTCTGCACGGCCGCCAACCCGTGCACGTCGGTTGACCGGAGGCGAGGCTCGCTTCCACCGACTCGACTCTACCCGAAAACCAATTTCCAACAAGTGCACGGTTAGCTAGCTCTCGAGAAATCCATTTCCAAAAGTGCAAAGGGGTAGAGAATAAAGGGGGAGAGTTGGTCCACCTTTCCTCCTGGTGTTCATTGCCGGTGTTTCCGTCGCGCCTTAAGGAACGAGGAGGTGTCTGGGGACGACGAGTCGTTGCTCCGGAAGAACACCTCGTGGACTCGAGCCTTCGCCGGAGGTCCGTGGCTTGCAGCCCTCCTCCGCCCCCCATACCCCCGCTCCCATAGTACCTGCAAATCACGACAGCGATATTTTAGAATCGGATTCAAAATTCGATTCGACTCTCGATCCAACTCCTCCCCCTCGTTGATTCTTTCGTTGATCGCTGTGCGTGTCTTCGAGTATTTTGCTTTTATTTTCCTTCGTTTCTCCAGAGATTCCTCGAGAATCATAGAAAAAAATCTGGAGGACTAACTTTGTTTTCGTTGTTTTCAAATAACGAGAACCACTTGTTAAACACGCCCATACGTGGTGAAGAAGAATTTAAAATTTAAGAACAAATTTTAGAAACAGAGAAGAGGGACGAGTGTTAACGAACTACAATTCTACAATTTTAAATCTGAAATTGTACCGCGTGTTGTTACGAAATTTCAATAATACGGAACTGAGTCGAAGTTGGACGAGGCTGATATTCAGATCGAGATACTTAAAATTGACTTGGGAGAGAGAAAGAGAGAGCGAAGAAGTAGAAATCGATTGGCGAGGAACTCAACGAAATCACGCTGGCCGACGAACGTGTTAAAATGACGTATCGACGTATTATTTACTATATTATTATATTCCGTAACGTTATTCGATTTCGAGAAAAGTTTTATTTCGAGCGCTTGCAGCGAGGCAATCTTTCTCGTGCACTTCGGTGCAGTATTATATTTTTGGCTCGTCGAGGCTCGGGAGTGGCGCTGCTCGGGAGAAGTCGAAAAGGTTAACAACGGGAAAAAGCGGAACCTCTCCCCTCTCCTCTTTGTATTTCAATTAAATCGAACGATAAATTATACGATCGTCGTACGTTTCGGAGCGTGGTCGGTCCTGTAACAAACAGCGAACGCGTACTGCTCGACATTTCCTCGTATTTATATTCTATAGAACGTAATTCTGTTATACATACTAATGTAAACATACGATAGTATAATAATAGAATGGCGAATATAATCTCGCGCAACGATTTCAACTCGAACTATTCGTTTACGATTCGTTTTCTTCGTACAATGAGTTTACGAAGAGTGAGACGATACAACGAATAGGTGGATTTTTTCCTCGCGGATTGCAATTTTGGGATTAATTCGAGTTTGAGGCTCGGTCGGGGGAAATGTTATGATTTTCAAAGTTTTGGAGTTTTCGTAGAATGCGGCTCGAGCTGATTTCTCCTCGTTGTCGAACGAATCGAGGCGAAGAAACGTGCGTAGAAACACGAAATAATAAACGGCGAATTGCAATTTTCTCTGCTTGATTGCGTAAAGAATATTAGCAAGTAAAAGTTTTGTTCGTGAGATCGTTACGATCTACGATCTTATCGCAGCGGTAATTTGAAGAAAAAAATTATGATTTGAATAATCAATAATAATTTGTGCAACGATAAGATTACGATAAGAAATTGATTTTATTTCGATTATAAATGTGATTAAATTTCGAATTAATTTATAATCGAAGACTTATAGATTGAAAAAACTTATTGGCGATAATTAAGGGTTAAAACGAAACGATTGACGGGCGGATCTCGTGCAACACTTACCCCTGCCGTTCCGCCACCACTACCGCTGCCCGGATCGCCCGTTCCCGGCCCCAATTTTCACGAGCCTCGCCACTTCCTCACCCGCCGCGACACCCCCGCGCCCTTAGCCTCCGCGGCGTGTCATCACCTGCAAAAGAAAAAAAGGGAAACAAGACCGCCCCTCTTTATTATTTCGTCCGAAACGTTGGAATTCGCGTATTCTCGCTCGATTGAAATTCCGCGGGATCGAATCGATTAGCAGCGGGATACGTGCCCCCCGAGAATCGAGCCTTGGAATAGGATAGGATAATTATCGTCCCCTTTGAACGATCGAGCGAAAATTTGGCAAAGAGATCGGAGGGAGTTTGATCGTAATCTCGTTTCCGATCCCGTTCCGAACCGAGATGTTGTCGTCGATCGCGCGATTCGGAGCGCAATTCCTCGCCGATTATTAACGCCGAGCCTCTGGGACTCCCCTCCTCTGATCCCTCGCCTTCCTTCATTCCCCGAACTTGTAATTTATCCCTGCATTTTATCCTTCTTTTCGTCCATCTCCATCAACTTTATCGATTACGTTACAGAATTTTCAAACGTATCTCTTCTCGACCCGTCAATTCTCGAGAAGAGAAGAGAGAGAAAAAGGTGAACACTTTCGCCCTTTTTTCCGTATAAATAATATCGATGCCTCTCCCCCAAAAATGGAAACGTTCGATCGAAAGGATAGGGAAAGAAACGAAAAGAAGGGGCTTTCAGCTCGCGTGTCCTTGGGCCACGATGATGACCACGTTAATTATATACCGGCAAGGTTGCCAAACTGCGGCCGTTGGCGATAGAATTCCAGGCTGAAAGGGAAGCAAAACGAAGCCGAGGTCGCTCCGTGACGTTTCGAGAACGCAGCAAAACGGGCTTTCGTGAACCAGTCGTGAAAAGGATCGCGCCGATGTTTGCTCTCCCCTCTCCTTCCTCCCTTTCTTCCATTTTCTTTCGATTTTCGAACGAAAATTTCGAACGAAGACGAGCAATTTTAATTCGTCGATTAATTATACTTCGATCCGATTAAACTCGATTTCGCGAGTTTTCTCTTCTTTTCTATTCTCTGCTGCTTTTATCCCACGAGGCGAGGCGAGATATCCTTTTTGCAACCAACATCGTTTTGTCGACGATAAAATTTCGATTTTCGAGCATTCGAATAATTCGTTTTTCCCCTTCCAACTCGTCCGAGTGATCGAAGATGGGAAATGAAGGAAAAAGCTGGGAGGACGAATCGAAAGAAATGGATTTTAAAGTGGAAAGTGTTTAAGCTCCCCTCTCCCCGGGGGAAATCTCGTAATATCGACCGCCGTTAAACACGAAATATACGCGAAAAGGATCCAAGATTTCTCTTCCTCTTCTTCCGGAGACGGATCGACATCGAAATTTTATTTCCTCGCGCAGAGAATTCCTGCACGCTAATCCGTCTACGTACGAATTATGGAATTTTTCTCGTCGAAAACAAAGCGGACGAATTCTCGCTGGACACACACACACACACACACACACGTATATTTCGTGGAAATATAAAATCCAGTCGAAACCGGTGGCTGGTTATCGATGAGGAGAGTAATTTCTTGTTGCTCGAGTCGAAAGTGGCGGGTTTCAAAAATGGCGGGATGCACGCTACTCGTTCGTGGCTCAACCCCTCGATTTCTGCCCCCGATAACGAAATCGTTCGCTCGTCGGCCGAAAAACACGAAACGATATTTTTTCCAATACTTTTTCCCCTATCTTCTTATCCGTCGAATCGTTCGACCGCGGGTGCTTTTGCCACGAAACGTAAAAAAAAAAAAAAAAAGAATATTTCACGAAAAATCTGATCCAGCAAGACGATACTTTTTTAATTTCGATTACTTTATAAATGACGAAAAGTGTAATAAAGCGTAGACATACAAGTTTTTCCCGAGGAATTGGAACAAGTGGAAGGCTTATATCCGTATTATATAAGGAAAGTTGACGAAAATGTACTCGGGAAGAGAGTTTCGTCTCGTCAAGCGGTCGAAACGGAACTTTAAACTTTTATCTCGAGCAAAGAGATAGGATATAATAAGAAAGCAAAGTACCGACAATGTACGCGTTTCGTAATCGTGTAATCGATAAGAAAAATAAAAAGGAAAATAAATATATATATATATACACACGTTCTAATTTTATTAAATTCGAAAACTATTCTATTCCAAAACATCTCTTTCGTTCTATTTTATTCTTATTTCGATAAGATAAAATGTATAAACCACACCACAGCCGCTGTTCGATATATTAGCAAAAGTTAACTCTGTACCCGCGATTTAAAGGATTAAGATACGTCCTTCTTTCCTTCAAGGACCAACACGCGCGGTTGTTTCGAGGCGATCGATATCCCCCTCGACGGGGACGAGAGGAAAAAAGGAGGGATCGGATCGCGCGCTAATGTTCCCCCCCCCCTCCCCCCTCCCCCCGACCGCGAGTTTTAATTAAAATACGGAAAAAAGGAGAGGAGAAGAAGAATGGAGATCCCTCGCGGGTGGGACGACGCGTTCGCGAGGATATTTGCGGCGAGCCATTCGCGGGGGCGATTCGCGTGGCCGCAAAACGCGTGGCCGACTGCGTCGTCACCTAGCCGACCGCAAAACTGCCGGCGGAATACCGAAAATGCGTGTCCAGGCATCCGTGAAACGATACCCGAAATAACTGAAACTTTTGCGGCCGCCCGTCCCACCGTCTTCGATCCCAAACCCTCCGCGATTTCTCCCCCTCGCTGGTATTTCTCGCGATTCCCGTCCAACGTCCACGCGAGCCTCGCGGTTTCCGGTTTCGAGTTTCCACCGCCAGAAGATTTCGAGACACGTCGCTCTCCTAACTTTTTTTAACTCCTCGAGAGATTCCTCGAGAGAGAGAGAGAGAGAGAGAGAGAGGAGGT